TAATAATAATTCAGAATAAAATACATTTCTTATGCAGTGTCAACAAGTTATATCCTCAGGGCATTTGCTGTTTAATAAGCCAGTATGGAAACATTTTGTATACTGAGTTAATATACAGAATTTAGTTACAGTTGTATCATTGGCAGAAGAGAGAACTCATTTCAGGAAGTTCCTGCATGTGTGCATACAAAAGTAGAGGGGGCTGTTTCTGGTTCAAGATGTTTCCTCTTGTTTACGTTGAGACTCTGTGACATCTAAATTTGGCTTAACATGGTCTTCTGTGGGTTACTGTTACGTTATGGGTAAAATTACTGCACTGTTAAAGCCACGCTACATGCTTCATCTCCTTCCCACTATATGAAAAGCTTAACTGCGTAGTGGTAGACCTGCATTACAGCCAACATGGAAATGAAAAGCATGTCATTCTAGTTGTCTTTGTGTTCCTGTATGATCAGTGGTCTCATCACCCCCAAAGGGAAGGGTTTATTTAGCCTTATTTGTTTCAGAATGATTCTACAGAAATGAAAACATAATAAGATGAAAGATAATTTAAAAAGAGAAGGGGCCCTAATGAAGTCACATTGGAAGGTAATTGGAAAATTCATTGTGCTTAAAATTCCTAGAATGATAGTTATTGCATCAGCTGGCTGGACAGCTCAGTGACTTAGGTTTCAGAGGTTGGGAGTTCAATTCCCACTGTACATCTCACAAGAGCTGGGCTGTGTGGTCTTGGATAAGCTATACATTCCCAGGATGTTCTAAGAAGAAGACAATGGTCAACCCTTTCTGAGCACTCTCTACCAAGAAAACCCTGAAGTATGTTACCATAAATCAGAATTGACTTGATGGCACATGATTATTATTATTATTAGTTGTTGTTGTTATTGAGACAAACTAGCAAAGAGTTTTATAGCATTTATATATTTTGGCATGAGACTCCGTAGGCAAGAAACCACTCTTTCAACAACCTGTTCTTGAAATGGTCAGTGACGAGAATGCTACATATACGTATGTGTGTAAGTTAAGTTGGGGTTGAAAAGGGAAGAATTCATAAGAATCTATGGTCTAAATCCAACAGTCAACTCTAAAAAAATGAGATCCACTGCATCAGCAGGAACAAGAGACGTGACATCTGTGTCTTAAGGACTGCCATTTCCATAATTTGCTGAGAACCCTGAGGCCAAATTATGGGAATGAAAGCCCTCAAACCAGTAAGAGGTAGAGAAGCCCTCTCACCTTCCCTGCTGTTCCCACACCAATTCTCCATTGAGTAAGAAGAAAAGTGCCCTACTATATTGTGAGAGCACCTATCTTCCCTGAGACCCACAAAGGTGCATGAGATGGTGAGTTTCAATGGCAATTGGCTCCAGGCTTTTGATCCTAAATTCAGCTGGGGGAGGAGCTCTTGTCAAATTCTAAGAGAGGAAGTACTGTATTTAAGATACAAATATCCCATTCCTACTGTTAGGCCAGCACATATGTAAACTGCATTGATTCAATGAGTATGGGGAGGTTAACATTGGATTAGGCCTACCAATGCAGTGCAGTACAATCTAGTCAAAGTGTAAGCCCGTTAACTTCAGTGGGTATAAGATTGCCACAAAAGGTATCCACAGTCAAATATATCATTTCAATTGTCATCTGAAATAAAATGTAATCACCCTACTACCACCTCTGTTGATTTAACTTCAAAGGCAAGAATATTTTATGATATTATCTAAAACACAGATATCATAGACCACAGCAGCCTCTACTGTGACATACAGACTATTATCACAGTATTAATCTTGCTATTTTATATATAGACCCGAAGGCTCATTGTTCTTAGCTTTAAATATTGTCTTTCAATGTTGTAAGCCACAGTAGGTCCTTTTTAAGGAGAAAGGTAGGGTAAAATTATGAATGAATGAATGAATGAATGGCACCAAGATAATTTCCACTCATGTTCCTTTATATTAATGAGTGAGTATGTAGGAAGTCTAATTCAGTATGTTGCAAGAAGATATTTAAAGAGAGATTTAAAATTCCATTATATTTATAAAGTCACAGCTACCCTTCATTTAGCAACCTGATTTATATAAAAATATAAATGTAAATAATAATATATAAGAGACAGATTTAAGCATCTAGTTGAATTTACTTTCCTAAAGACTTTGATTATTCTCATTCGAAAACCAACAGTGAGACAAAGGTGTGGCTTGTTTGATTAGAAATGATCCCTTATGTTTTATTTTATGAAATCTCATCCCTTTCTTTTCAGTTTTTTCAGAAAATTACAAGGATGTGGGCATGAGAACCATATGCCTATAATAAATTTGATTGCTGTTGACAGTAACCTGAAAGTGTCATTGCCTTAATAGGGGTGACTAACAACCCCCCTCCATCCTGCAGCCCTTAACATCTTCCCTAAAAACCTGCTTGGGAAGGGAGGGCAGGAAACTTTCAGTACCATTATGGGCTGCAAGGTGGAAAGGCTAACAAATCTCAGTGCTGTTAGAAGAATAACATTGGATTTGCCTGAGTGGCTTTTGAAAAGGAATTACAATATTTGCATGCCATCCTGTAATATAAAGTTATGGTGGGCATATAGTACAAAGTGTGGAATGTTTTCATACTTAGAGTAGGACTGCTTAATACACAGTGCAATCTCTTACATATCATACTTTGGCCATCAGTTTACCCTTTTGGATTTCAATTATAACAATCCCTTTTTATCTAGGTTACTACAATAACAATACAAAAGTAGCTGTGAAAACTTTGAAGCCTGGCACCATGTCTGTGCAAGCATTCCTAGAAGAAGCCAACCTCATGAAAACACTTCAACATGACAAGTTGGTCAGACTGTATGCTGTAGTCACCAAGGAGGAACCTATTTATATAATAACTGAATACATGGCAAAAGGTGAGTATTATTGAACAGTCCTGTTTTTGAGTAGGTGAATGTGTCCATTACAAGATTTGATGTAACAGAAGCTGGTGCATATAATTGGTGCCAAGATATATTTAGATTTAATCAAGGCACAAATAAATTCATTTTATTCAACCCATTACAATAGTTAAGAATATAAGATATAGTTCAAATCAGTACTGTCTATGAAAAATGAGATTATTTTGATCCCACTTGTATGACATTTTAGATTAGTGTGTATTCTAATTGAGCTGCAATTTATATTTCTGAAACAGTAAACAATCAACGTGGTTTGCAGTATATAATACACTGTTTTCCTTAGTATTTGACCATAATAGCAATATATGACCACAGGAAATGCAGGAGCAAAACACTTGTTGCATGTATTTTCACTATATTTGGGAGACCTGCACCTAAAATGACAAGGTTGCTTTTTGGGGAAGCATAGCTTAACCTTAGCATAAAGACAAAACGCCTGACTGTATAAGCAATTAAGGGCAGCACAGTTCATGGCTGTTGTCTGAGAATTAACATCAGTATAGGAGTTTCATCTTGTAGTGTGAGCCTCTGCCCAAAAGCAATGACTCCAAAGCCATACTCTTGGTATGATTGCACTGGCTGTAGTGAGCCTCAGCAACTATTTAATGCGTTGTTATTTGGTATCGTTGAGAATCCCTATAACAAACTGCAAAGTATTTCTAACACTTAGGCTTCTAGTATTCTGCATAGTTCCTGGGGAAGAATGGAATAAAATATGCAAATATACGTATCAAAGATATACATATCAATAAATTTAGCTCCTTGAATGTAGATTTCATGCTACTCAGGTTTGTGTTTACTAAGAGAATCAATTCAGATAACACCAAACCATGGATAATTTGGATTTGGAGAAAATATAGCTAATGCTTCATATTTAAATGACTCAGCTGATTCCTTTATAACCAGTAATGTTTGTATAGCATTTGAAAAGCTGCTCTGTTTAATTAGTTCTTAGTAGTGTCTGCCTTGGATTGCTGCCTTGTCATGGCAAAGGGGCTTCAGTAATTCAGAGAAGCTATGGGCTATGCCATGCAGGGACACCCAAGATATACAGGTCATAGTGGAGAGTTCTGACTAAATGCAATCCACCTGGAGCAGGAACAGGCAAGCCACTCCAGTATCTTTGCCAAGAAAATCCCATGAACAGAAACAAAAGGCTAAAAGATATGACGCTGGAAGATGAGCCGCTCAGGCTGGAAGGCATCCAAGATGCCACTGAGGAAGAGCGGAGCACAAGTACAAGTAGCTCCAGAGCTAATGAAGTGGTTGGGCCAAAGCCAAAAGGATGCTCAGCTGCAGACGTGCCTGAAAGTGAAAGGAAAGTCCAATGCTGCAAAGAAAAATACTGCATAGGAACTGGAATGTAAGATCTATGAACCTTGATAAGCTGGATGTGGTCTAAGTGGGCCTTAGAAAGCATGGCTAACAACAAGGCCAGTGGAGGTGATGGCATTCCAGTTGAACTATTTAAAATCTTAAAAGATGATGCTGTTAAGGTGCTACACTAAATATGCCAGCAAGTTTGAAAAGCTCAGCATTGGCCAGAGAATTGGAAAAGATCAGTCTACATCCCAATCCCAAAGAAGGGCAGTGCCAAAGAATGCTCCAACTACCATACAATTTCACTTATTTCACACGCCAGCAAGGTTATGCTAAAAATCCTATAAGGAAGGCATTAGTAGTATGTGGACAGAGAACTCCCAGAAGTACAAGCTAGATTTTGAAGGGGCAGAGGAACTAGAGACCAAATTGCTAACATGTGCTGGATTATGGAGAAAGCCAGAGAGTTCCAGAAAAACATCTACTTCTGCTTCATTGACTACGCAAAAGCCTTTGACTGTCTGGATGAAAAATTGATGCTTTTGAATTGTGGTGCTGGTGGGAGACTCTTGAGATTCCCTTGGACTGCAAGGAGAACAAACCTATCTATTTTGAAGGAAATCAACCCTGAGTGCTCACTGGAAGGACAGATCCTGAAGCTGAGGCTCCAATACTTTGGCCATCTGATGAGAAGAAAACTCCCTGGAAAAGACCCTGATGTTGGGAAAGAGTGAAGGCAAAAGGAGAAAGGACGACAAAGGATGAGATGGCTGGACAGTGTCATCAAAGCTACCAACATGAATTTGACTCATCTCTGGGAGACAGTGGAAGACAGGAGGGGCTGGCTCTGGTCCATGTGGTCATGAAGGGTTGGACACAACGTAATGACTGAACAATAACAAACTGTCTCCAAGGTTCACAAATTTAAAAATCCTCTTTAAAATACTAGAATTTTTATGTAAGTGTAAGGTGACATGAGACATAGGAATGTATACTTTATATAAAGTATATGTTCCTAACATAAAATATGTATGTATCGCTGTTTGTATGTCTTTTTCTTTTAAGTATTAGAACACATCTGTGGTTTATTTTTGTTTCTTGCCAATTTGCCTTACACTTTCCCAATCATTTATCGTAGGCAGCTTGCTGGATTTTCTGAAGAGTACAGAGGGTGGAAAATTACTACTTCCAAAGCTCATTGATTTCTCAGCTCAGGTAAATTGTGTGTGTGTGTGTGGTTGTGTACATTTAGAAAAATGCACATTTAAAATCCTTTCCATGCCTGTTTGCTTTAAAAGGCAATCAGACTGCATACTTTATAAAAACCTGATAGTGCAACAGAGAACTTTACTTTCTCAAGTCTTTGTATGAGGTTGCAGCAGAATGTCTGGGGAAAGCCATGAATCATTCTCTGCAGTCACCACTTTAGGTAAAGGTTTCCCTTGAGAATTTGTCCAGTTGCGTCCAACTCTAGGGTGCGGTGTTCCTTGTTTCCGAGCAATAGAGCTGGCATTTGTCCGAAGACAGTTTCCGTGGTCACGTGGCCAGTGCGACTAGACACGGAATGCTGTTACCTTCCCACGAAGGTAGTACCTATTTATCTACTTGCATTTGCATGCTTTCGAACTGCTAGGTTGGCAGGAGCTGGGACAAGTGACAGGAGCTCACTCCGTTGTGTGGATTCGATTTTACGACTGCAGCTCTTCTGACATTGCAATACAGAGGCTTCTGTGGTTTAACCTGCAGTGCCACCACATCCCTCCGTGGTAAATGACATTCAAACTGATGATATGGCATAGATGTGGCATGGCCTTACTTGTGATTCCTTTTTAATAGGTGTCTGATGTTCTAAGGCACATGTGCTTTAAAATGTTTGGCTTGATCATCTGCTTTTGGGAGTTGGATCTTAGTTTTTAAATGGATTTCTCCTGCATGCACATATGGCAATTTTTAAAAAGCTCCCTGAACTGCTGGGCCTTACTGTACATTATACTATACAACTGAAAGCACATTGTAGTCGGTACATTATATGATGCCTTACCAGCTGCGGCTTGGTTGAGCTGCACTAAGTTTTTAAGAGGCCGTTGCAAGTCTTCCATAGGTAGAATAATGCGAAATGTGCCTGAAAAAACTGTATCACTAGCTACCACAGTGCTCAGCATGGCTGGATGTAACTGAGCTCAGTCTGATGCTTGAAAATATCTACTGAAACTTTAACTATCCTTATCTACAAAGTTAGCTTTATTGTGTAAAGCCCTCTAATTATTAGCTCAGTTGCTGTGACTTTATGGGATAGTCACAAACATTCTAATTGTAGGACGAAACACTATGAGAGAAGCCTTGCGTTCAATAAACCAAGGTAGACCAGGAAATGACTCTATCTCTTATGCAAGTTTAGAAAGGGATTTAGATAATTTACATTCCCCTTTCGCCAAACTGACAAAAGAAGCAAATAAATACCTTAGTAAAAGTATGCAGCACTACTTCAGAGAAAGGGAAGAGCAGGGAAGGAATAAAATAGAGAGCAAGAACACAGCTTTGGTAAACAGTTCAACCAGCTGTTCCATAGTTCTTATTTTTGCAAATAACTTCCATTCTCCTTCAAACAAATAGCAGCTGGTCAGACTACAACCTACTCCCTTCATTGTTCATCTTGAAAGCAAGCAGATGAACAAAAAAATAAAAATAAAAGGAACAGAGAACACAAAAGCTCGAGTTAGACTGGAAACAAACAAACAAAAATTCCCTTTAAACTAGTGCTTACCACAGGGCAGAGTCCTACAGAGTAATGCATCCTGTAAGAAATATCCTTTGAACATGACCTTAATTTCCTGTTGGAAATGTTGACCTCATTTTGCCCTAAATTGTCATCAAAGTAACAAAATATTCTCCGGGGGGATGATGATGATGATGATGATGATGATGATGATGATGATGATGATGATGATGATGATGATCATCATCATCATCATCATCATCATCATCATCATCTGGGTGCTATATCAGCAGCTTTTGTATCTAGGCTCATTTCAAATTTTAGGGTTTTGTTCTTCATCTTCCTTATTTATTAAAATGTCTAAATGAACATGATGGTTCATCATTTTAAAAAACAACAATTTTAAGCAGAAATTGAGAGTTCTGTTTTTGGAATTGTACCCAAACATAGCTTAAAGCAGCATTTCTCAAATGTCTTTGTGATGATTTAGATATAAATTGTGGCCTTATTATTAATCACACCAGTTTTCCTTATCACAAAACTTGTTAGACTCCATGGCATCATAAGACTCCACATTGTTTTTGTAGTAAAAGGCAATGTAGCTATCCCCATCTCTACGTCTCAAATGGTGCTGTGCATGTTTTGTGCTAGGGCAGAAATAATACTTGGTGAAACATTTTTGTTCTTGTGACATTAGACAATTTCTTGATTTAATAAGACATCTTGATAAGCAAGTTTAAGCCCTTTGAGATTCCTCACCTATAAGTGACAGTGAGATAAAGTACTGTATACTTTTTCTCATCCAGGGCTTTTTAATTTGACAGTCATCAACTATAATCAAAAAGCCATGTACACAAATACATTTTGCTCTATGTCATAGAGTTTCATCTAATTTGCTTTAAAAAAAATCCTCCCCCCCTTCATCTTTCATTCAGGGTTCCACAAAATGCCTTGTTTCTTGCAGGGAAAGGATAATAATGTAGTGGCTCTTATCCTTATATCTGGAAATACAAGAACGGATGTATTTTGTGTGTCAAAGATACAAGGGCAGATCCTGGGAAATATTGGGGGATCTTGAATGGAATGGGCTTATACGGAATTTTAGATGATATGTTAAATGATTTTGAAAATGGGGAACGTACCAGCTCAATATTAGCCAGCATCATACCACCAGGGATAAGTCATCATTCAGTGGTGGAATTTGTGCATTCTGTTGTCATTTTCATCATCCTCTGACAGTTACAGGAGAAACTCTTCTCAAACTCTGCAAGTTACTGGCAGTTGTTGTAGACCAGTGGTTCTTAACCTTTGTTACTCGGATGTTTTTGAACTGCAACTCCCAGAAACCCCAGCCAGCACAGTTGGTGGTGAAGGCTTCTGGGAGTTGCAGTCCAAAACTCCTGAGTAACCCAAGGTTAAGAACCAGTGTTGTAGACAATATTGAGGTAGAGGGACATGTGAGCTGACTCTGGGTATGATCAGATGAACTTTTGTCCCGTGGTTTGGTCCACAGGAAACTTCCTGTCCCTTCCCCTTGAAGGGAGTGACAAGGAAGCTTTCCATTTCTTAAGATGGTTAAGTGTACAGGAGGAAAAGAGAGAGGGACTTTTTTGTTTTTGTTTTCTTTCCCTTTAAAGGGAAAGAAGATGCTGAACAGTTACCTGAACTGGTTGATCACCCCAAATGACACCCCAAAGTGACCCTGTTTAGCACAATCTATACCAATCCGAGTGGGATAACTGGGCTGGCTAAGCACACCCAAATGGGAGGACTAAAAAAATACTAGGCTATTGACTCTAAAAGAAAAGAAATACAAGAAAATGCACTGCTGTAATTTTAGAAGAATTTTTTAAAAAATACACAAGCATATTAATAGGGCTCTTGTTAGATAAGAAGTGATATATTTCTTTTTGCTATTCAGATGACTATCTGCTTGCTTTCTAGATAGTTTAAATGCTGGCTTACAAGGGGCAGATACTTTAATTGAAATACTGCTACCTCCCCCACTGTTTGTTTGTTTGTTTGCTTGCTTGCTTGCTTCTTGTTTGTTTGTTTAGTGGGAGTCTGGTAGCGTAAATAAGTTCTATTTGAATCTCATTTAAGCCATAGCTTATACACAGTAGGATTAGTTGTTGTTGTTTAATTGCTACTATTTAAATTTTCAAAACTATTACAAATTATATATGCTGGTCCAAATCCTGTTGGTAGAAATTTACACTAATGGAAGCTGATGGCATGATCAGCTGGTGTTGTTTTAATTTAATTTAAATTAATTAAAAGCTTCTATCTACTCAATTTAGCTTCTATCTCTTTCAACCCATGGCTCCTTAGGGCCCCCCTTTTCCCCCCAGGGAAGCCTTTGGGGGCCTTGGGACAAGAGGGAAGAGTATTTAATTGCCAAACATTGCAACTGGCAGTCCCAGTCCCACTTATGGTGATCCAGCAGTGATGGTTGCTGATTAAATGCTCCCCTCTCATCCTGATGCCCCCAAAGGATTTCACAGGGCAAAAGGAAGTCCTAAGGAGCCTCAGAAACAGGGGAATAGGGACCTTCAAAGTAATTTAAATGAAATTTTAATAGCTCATAACATCATCAGCTTCTATCAGTGTAAATTTCTACCAATATTTTTTGCCCACTGTATACAATAATTCTGTTGAAGAAATGTGCACATATAGAAAGCTAAATGTATTTGCAACTATAGTTCTCATGGAAGTGAATGGTCAAAGAGACAAACTGCTTTTTATTTAATAAATGCTTTAGTTAATAAATGCCAATGGAATTGGGTTGATAAAACATGAAAGTTCCTGAGTATGTTCCATTCTTCCTGACTGTGTGCTCATATACTAGAGCTTTAGTTTTGCAAAGGTCCTTCTCTGTAGAAGGCTGCTGTGCTTTTGTACTCACCAGATACTTTAGAAAATCCCTATGATCTAGCTGCATTTGCTGCAGCAGAGTGGTGCTAGTTTATGTGTGAATTAACAAAACAGTAGCACCTCTTGTGGCGGCTTTGGGGGCAGGGTTGAAGTCTACTTATATGTGCAAATAGCACTGTTTACTCAGATGAATCAGGTTTTCCAAAGGTCAGGAATGAATAGAGTGGAAGGAAATACTGTGTAGTATGTTCACCTACACTGAAGTTAGAAAATGCTAATACAGACCTGCTCTCCCCCCCCCATCTAAATTGCAGCTTGTCTGTTTTAATCTTTTGTTGTTGTTGTTGTTGTCGTTGTTGTTGTCACACTTCCTGAACTTTTAAAATTGTAAATGAAATAACACATTTCTTTCTATTTAAATATTGCATATCATAAGGTTGCCAAGTCAGCAACATTTCATTCATTGACATTTCAAGGCTGAAACCAGAAACCAAGATAAACCCTTGCACTGTCACACAATTGAATTCTTATGACACGGCAGGAGTTGAAAAAGACAAGAGTGGGTGGCACATCTTCTAGTCCACATTACTGTGGAAATGGCCACAACATGCCCCCTTCCCATGCCTTACTCCAAATGATATGGTATACCTAAGTCCCTGGGGTCCCCAGCCCTCTCCTCAGTGTTCTCCTCTTACTCCTAACTTTTCAGGGCACTGATGTTCCATAATCACAAGGTATATACAAACACATTTGCACTCAGTCATTGAGCCACCAGCAGGGGATCAGTGAAGATATGTGCCCAAGCTACAAAGTCACTTCACACACAAAAAGGAAATGTTATTTTCTACTAGCACTGTTTGCTCTGAGATTTGTTTACCGCCTGTCTCCTAAAACAGGACAATCTTGGCATGGATCTTTAAAATACGTACCATGGATGGGAGAGAAGCAGAGCATCCTTGCTTCCTTACCTAGCCCATCTAAGAAGATCCATGTACTGAGGAAACCAAAGATGCATCCATAAATAGACATATTTCATAACACATAGTTTCTGGTGGGATGCATATCTAGAGTGTACAGCCATTTGCATGGGAAACATGCAAACATCCCATGAAAGCCAGATGATATGAACAGACAATAGTAGTGCTTAGATATGTATCTGAAGTGTGTGTATACTGTGTTTTATGCTATGATGAACACATAAGTTTAAAGGCCTGCCCATTCTTTCTCTGTCAGAGTGGGGGGAAACCCAGTGTGTTGTCTGTGATCCTTCCTGTAGTTATAGAGGTACTTCTATGCTTGCAGGGGTAGGTGGCCTCACTGCGTGGATGTGTTTTCTACATGCTGTATATATATATGTATGACAGCCTGTTCTTTTTAGAGTAAGGCCTGTGGCCAATTGATTTCTGAGCCTTTTCTAGGCCTTTCCTTTTTCCTTTTTAAGGTTTATGGAGAGATATAGGGGCTTAGCTTTTGTGCAACATTTCTCTTTGCAAGAAGCATGTTCCGCACTTGTGGCAGTGTGATGGGAAATGCCACCAGTATTTTTCCATTGCTTCAACCTCAAAAAGAGGAACAAGGAAAGTGTGTAGTTTCTTTTTTATAGATGCTGGTCTGCATATCAAAAAGCAGACGGGTACCTGAGCAACATTTTAAAGAGTGTGCACCTATGTATGGTATTTATTTATAGCAAAACTACCGTTTTGTAAGTTAGTAAAACTCAGCTATGTGGCGCTTTAGTCCCTCTGATTGTTTTTAATAAGACTATCACTGATGTGCATAAAGGGTAGGGTTAATTTCATTACTAGCCATGCTTGTTTAGTCTGTCAATCCCTGCTCAAGCCTGAAATAAAACTGATCTGAAATCTTTTTGTTCTTGTGTCTCTAACAAATACCAGTCAGCAACTTTCCAAATGAAATCCCGCTCCTGGTATTTTCGCATTAGGGATCTTTCTGTTTATAAGCCAAGTTCACTGTATTCACATGTTTCTTAATTGGGACAACTGTGTGATCAGAGCTGTCTTGATTTCTTTGCAGCCACCCTTCTACAAGCAGCAATCTTACATTTCACAGTACTCTCCTTTCTCAGTCCCTCCTTGATGCTGGCAGAGGGGCAAACCACACAAAATTTCAGCTGTACAGTTAGGTGATAAAAGGTATCCTTGTAGCGACACAGTTCCTTCGAACCTGCTGTGTCTATGTGATCAACTTGCAAATTGAGCCTGTTGTTTGGGGTTAGTCACAAGCTGATTTGCAGCTTTGGGAGCTGAGGAAACCTTGTGAGAGAAGAAATGAAAGTCCATTTGCTCTTATAAGGAAGCTCTGCTTTTCATTGTGAAACTGGTATCTTGGATTGTTTGGGCCATGGAGGATGGTGGGGGAAAGGAATTAGGCAGAGCTGAGTCAGCTGCGGGCCTGTGGAGAAGAAATAGTAAAGTCTTTGGCCCTTTTTTGTTTGAATGTAGCCTCCACAGAGAAGAATGTAACAGACTTCTCTGCCCTGTTATTAGGAAATGCCCTGGAAGGCCATTCACATGGTATTTGGAGTATTTGTTGGCAGGTATAAACCAAACAATTACAGTCTGCCTTCCTCTTGCTACAGTGCTTAACATAGTTTAACAAAAGTCTCACTGGTATTTGAAAATACACTAAGTGAATCAGTGGTGAATAACCACCCAGATCCTTAATGATAATCGATTATTCACACCTGTTTAGTGACACAGAAATGTCACTGAAGTGGGTGGAATGTAGCAGAAATGTTTAAAAGTTACATTTGGGAGATATAACACTGGGATGGGGATTCAGGTCACAGGACTTGTTGTTGAATAGGGGTTGAATTTTACTGGCAACTTGACTTGGGTTTGTTTGTTTTTTAATGACTCGGACTCAACACAAAACTTGGGCCCATTTTTCTGAGTTGTTTTTGAGTCCTTATTCTTTTAATGAAGGACACCATAAACTTGGAAGAAGCTTTGCAACGCTCACCAGAAGATGCAAGAGAGGCAGACAAACAATGGAGGAGGAGATAGCAACAAGGAGGGAGGGTTTTTGACAGGGTGGGAAGTGGAGTGTTGAGGGAGGGTGAGACAGGCCAGGCAGATGGGACCAAAAATAGATGGTTCACAAGCCTTAGACTTTCCCCCACACACCCAACACAGAACCGACCCACCACTCCTGTTTTTCTGGGGGGGGGACTTGTTTTTAATAGGGACTTTGACTTGGGGCTTGGGACTCAGGACTTGATATCAAAGACTTGGACTCAGGCTTGAGACTCAACACCCCTGGTATGAAGCCCAGACTGTCTCAATCAGCCTAGCCATTGACCATATATCTGGAGCATTCTGGGAGCTATAGTCCAAGAAAATGACTTGAGTTATATCTGGAGTGGAGATATAGAAGGTCACTGTGTTGAGGAAACTGTGAACCATTCAGAAGGAAAGGTAGCCAGATGGAT